TTTCTCAAGTAATCATTGAAGCCTTAATTAAAGTAGCAAACACACACACACACAAGCTACAAATATATTTATTTGATACACATAAGAACTATAAATATTCTACAGTAACGGTATAAGCTCCTCAAATCCCAATTCCCCATTCCAGTTCTGGATTGACGATCCCAGGTCCATTTTTCACCTCCCATGAAAAACCCATTTCAATCTCAAATCTCCTTGTGAAAACAGTACAAATTAAATTTAATTTACCAACCACTACTGCTTTATACATCTTATCGATTCCACCATTGAAAATATTGACTAGGATATTTAAGAAGAGAAAGCCGATGGGTCCCACCCCCAAAGAGCTCCAGCTGGGAGCTTGAAATTATGGGAAAAACTGAGTGGTGGTTTTCACAGCACAGATTTGACAGAGAGCACCTGAAAGTGAAAATACAGAGCTTATATTGAGTACAGGTTATCAACTCTTGTAACAAACACCACAGGGACATGAGAGGGTAAGTAGCTAACTAGGCCCCTCTTCAACTCATAGACTCTAAATTACTTACATCTGTACATTGAGTACATGGTTCATGTTTAATTTCTCATGGTCGTCCTCCTTCTAGCTAGCTATGTATTCCGATCGATCGGAGGCCTAAGTGACAATTCTATGAATTCGCTGCTCTCTTTTTCTTTTTTTGTTTCACGTAGCTGTGGATGTTTAGATTAGGTCTAGAAATTAATTGTCAGATAAACCTTTAATACTACTAAAATTTATAATATTCAAACTAATAATCTCCAGAAAAACAAACCCAAAAAGCTACATCCCTCAAAATTTATGCTCTCCTTTACAGATTGGTGGAGTCTTTATGGAAAGACTTTTGACGATCTTCTTAGTTTCTCTTTTCCTGCTTGGTGGTAAAGATCGATCATTTAATTACTGCTACGTACCTACCCGCTTCTAGCTAGTCAAAAAAGTAAATCAATAATGCTGCCATTGTAATTTTGTACTTTTAACGGTTGTATATATAAATATACATGTACGTGCGTGAGTGCCTGGCACAATCTTTTTCTTTTTTTTTTTAATTATCCATTTTATGCTTAACGTGGAATAAGGTTGTCTCATCTCTGTGAAGCATTGAGGCCACTAGGGAATATGTAAGGTAAAACACATAGGTATGGGTATACAATGACTAATTTTGAGAATTAAAGATCAATATTATACTAGGATGTTCAAAGAAAAACACAGTTTTTATTAGATATATATTTTAAAATATTAATTAGTTTTTCTTCGTGAGAGTTAAGACAAAATATTATGATATATATATATATATATATATATATATATATATATATTACTGATCATTTAATATTTTTTTTATAACTTGCTAGCTTTTGTATTTGGTTTATGATTGTAAATTAATTATGTGATCTAAGAATTAAATTATTAAGCTAATTATTGTTATAATTGCTAAAATGTGATAATATTTATTTTTCTCTTTCAAAATTTAATTACCGATTGTTATCTCCGTTTTAACTCAACAATTTATGACAAACAAGAAATTGTTGAAGTTACAAATCGTAACACTATCTGTAGTTTTCCGTAACGTTCAAATGTTCGTGAAGTGAGAGTATAACTATTCGATCGAACAAAAACATTTAAATTAGAAATTATATATAATTAATTGGAGCTCTATCTAATTACATGTTTGATTTTTTACAAAATAAATAAATGGAAATCTACTTTTCAAGAAAATTACAAATTCAACCTCACAATCATTTCGATCGAACCCCCATATATCGGTCAATCCCCACCATCCAAAATGTATACATCATTAATTGATTTTTTTTCTTTATTATTTTTCCCAATATTTTCTTGTTAATTAGATACATTTCATGCACACAAACCTGTTCTGAATAGGTTTGATAAGAAAGGGTTGAGCGGATGGGATGCCCCATAGTATTATTATATTTACTGTAGGTTCAGAAGGAAATGAGAATCATAAGCAATTCTTTCTTTCTCTAGTTTTATATTCTTAGCTAGGAGCATTTTGAAGTATATGTATATTACATCCTTGAAATTTTAGAAATAGACGGGATATATAATTAAGTAGGACTATTCCCTTAACTTTTTGAAATCAGCTTAATTTGAAAGCAATATTTAAAAGAATTTATCATTTAAAAATATATTTAATTATTTTAAATTGATATGCAAGTTGATTCCATTATATATTTATTGTTAAATAAAAAAAATTACTTTCCTATTTAATCTGATGCATGTATATATGCCTTTAGCATTCATATAAACTTGAAAAAACTATTTTTCTTGTTTTTCAATTTTTCTTGTTAAGGACAGAGAGTCGCCAGAACATATATAAATAAAGTCAAAATAAATAAAAGAGAAACAATCATACATAAAAGAAATACATAAATGTTTTTTGAAACTATTTATTATTTTTTAATATATAGATAATAAAATTATCAAGATTTTAATAAGAGGTCAAATAATTAATTTAATAAAAAAACTTAACTTTTTAAATAATATCTTAAAATATAATTTATATTATTTTTTAATATTTTTAGCTAAAAAAAAGTCATGCTCACCATTTTGCCTGGCAGCATGTAAATTCTTCATCTCGATTAATCAGATGTAGAAAACTGGTCAATGATGTTCAAGTGAAATAGAGAGACATAAAGGTGTACATATCCGATAACTCCGTTATTTGTTTTACCCGTACCTGAGCAAAGGAAGCGAAGATTACGATGGAGAACAGTTGTGTTTTTTTTTTGTTTGTTTTCATCACAGGTCACAAGCTTCTACCTGCAAGGTGCAATGAACTTATGAGCCAGAGGAGGGAGCGATAGCAAAACATTCCACCCAGCATGAGACACATAGGCTGCACATTATATAGATTATTGTACTACGAAGAAAACTTCGAGCATAAATGCCCTGTGGGTGTATCGTTTTTCGTGCAGCAAAAAACAATATTTTCGGGAATCATGACCCGTAGAACTTGGGTAAATTTTGCATGGTGCATGAACAATCCCGATGTGGCTCTGAGTTAGCTAGGCTTTGTTGATCTTATTTGAGTATGACTTTATTAGGTTGTGTTTTACTCGTATACACAGACAGAAGCAAGAAACATGTTTAGTTATGGAAATATAAAATAAATTTATTTTTGATATGGTTTTTGAGTGAATTTATATATTTTTAAACCAGAAAATACATGAAATATGTCTTGTGAATTTTAACATAATTAAGCACGTACAATCTAATTAAAATAAATGAACAAGTTGATCAACTTTTATAGATGAGGTCGTTGTTCTTGCTTCCTTTTCTTCTATACTTTCACATGCTTGTGGATTTGAGTTCAATACCAGCTAATCACATAGCTGAATTTATGATTTCAGAAGAAATCTTTTGTTTAGATCGATAAGCTTTGCGTAGTCTTGGCAATTTATGTTTTTAGGACAGCACCATAAATGACCCACCATTTCTTCGTTTTTTTTTGCCACAGGTAAGCGTTCATTTTCAATTTCTTCTTTATTAGCTGTCAAACAAGCAGAAAATTCCGTCTAAAACTGAAACTTGCTTAAATTAATGAGATTCACGACAAAGAATAAAGAGAAAAAAAAGATTTATAAAAAGGGAAAACAAACAACTGGCCTTGTTTTGTTTCCATCATTTTCTATGCGAACATTGTATAACCATATCAGATACAAAAATAGAGTCTAGAGATATGAATTCCATTACTGAACCCGATTGGATACAGTTAATTAACCTACCTTTCGAGGTTCTTGCTTTTCCTGGATTTAATTATATATCCAAATCTCTTTCTACAGGACTAGATTCAGCTTGGAATTTGATTTTTGTTTGCCTAAAATGCTGAATTTTAATTTATTAATAATGCAACCCCGCGGTTAAAGAACCGACGGACTTCAAGAAGAATACATGGCTTAAAAGTGAGTTCCATAAAGAAGGGGAGTTAATTAAGAAGAAGAAGGTAACCTTCTAATTTCTCAAAATCTGTTCCAATTATTTTTTGACTTTTTACAGTCACTTGGATTCTTTCAATTTCTGTTTATTAATTGATTTTTTTTTTAATTTTTTATGAGAGTGGTAACCAAATGTTTTTCTTTTCGTGGTATGAAAGTTAGCTTATCATACCTTAATTTGAGAATCTTTTTTCTTTTATTTCTCAATCAAGTAATTCTACCTTAATTATGCGTTAATTAAATATTCTTTTGTCGTGTAAAATTGTGATTTTTTATTGAAATAAATGAGAGACAAGCAAGTGGACTACACAGTTCAAAGACAATATGGAATATAATGTATCTAAGACTTAAAAAATAATTTATGTTTTGGGTACAAGGTACTAATTAGCTTGCTTGCATTTATTATTATTTCCTTATCATTGGAGATTTTAATCTAAAATAAAAAAATAATATTCACAATCCTAAGAATCTCTGTTTTTTTTTTTTGGAATCTATTACAGAAATTTAGTCCAAATAAACTTTCTTTCACAGTAGTAAAACGTATAGGAGTAATTTCGCGGCGTGTCGTGATTCAAATCACGACAGAGTAAATTAGTGGGATTCAGAATTGTGAGAAACTGAATGCTATTTTAAAAAAAAAATTATGCTGTTCATACTTTTAAATTATTATGTTAATTTTTTTTAATAAAAAATCCAAATAAAAAGGCTGCCAAAGCTACTGTTTAATCACCATCATTACACGGCAGAAGCATAGGTACTTAAGTTATCTGAAAACTTCTGACTCATCTATGACGCCTCCTAAAAGGCAATCTTAAGAGAGGGAAAAAGAAGAAGAGGCAAGAATCTAAAACAAATGGGGTGATTGTTCACTTGTAAGAGAAGACAAGGCTATTAATTTCATTTTGTCTTTAATGAAAATTCTATTCCTTTTTTTTTTCAATTTTATTTATTATTGGTGGAAACTGGAAGAGTGCTATTCATTTTTATTTTTGCTTTGATGAAGGTGAGAGGGGGAGGGGGGTGGGGATTGATAGGATAAGACTAGTCAAATGAACAAAAGCATTGCATGGATTTATGCGTAGTTTTGTGGTTTTCTCTCTCTCTCATTCCTGATCTGCATATAAGCTCGGGGACCTCACTCGAATTTTGATCACAGAGAATCACTTTTTCCTTGCGGCCTTCTAGGTTTCATCATCGCAACCTTCTTTAGCTTCTCCCTTCAATCACTTTCCTTGAAAACTTGCTAACCTTCAATTCCAAAGCTTCTTTCTCTCTCTCAAATGGCGGCCTTTCCATATCAACATCAGCCGTTGTTTCTTGACTCAGCTTTCTTGCCAAGCATAGCCACACCCACTAAGAACATGAACAACAACATGTATGGTTCTTTTGAGGAAGCTGGAAACATGATCAATACCAACGGTTTCTCCCAAATTTACTATCCTGAAACTTTTCATGAAACACCTAGTCGTGATGTTAGATTTCATCAAAGGAGCCATCCTGATGATCATAGCTATAAGGTGTCTCTTAGTGATAATGAGACTTCTTGGACTAAAAAACAGAGCACAAACCCCTCAACCGCGGTGGATAAGCTTGTAACTGGTGAGCACGTTACTCAAGAGGTAACTCCCATGGCCAGGAAGAGGGCAAGTGCTAATGGGTTCTTGAATTCTGCTCAATCAAAGGTAGACCACAATCAACAAAGTTCATTTACAATAGCACTACAAATTCTGTTCTAAGTGTGTGCTTGAGATTCTGTACACACATATGATTCCTTACCAGCTTAATAGTTTTTGTTACAGGATGCTAGAAAAGTGAAAAGCAAGAGACAAAATAAATGCAGTGGTGACATGAAACACGAAGAGAAGAAGCCAAAAGTTGAGAAGAAAGTTCTTGGAGAGCCTCCAGCAGGCTACATTCATGTAAGAGCAAGGAGGGGCCAGGCAACAGACAGCCACAGCCTTGCTGAGAGGGTACTAATACTATGCTCCACTACAAAGCTCAATACACACACTAATTTCTTTTAGGACTGTAATTTCCCATTTCACCCTCACAAAAAAAAAAATCAGATTAACTAAACCTGTATTTATCATCCTCTCCTACTCCTCCTCCTCCACCACTACCACCACATCTTCATGCCCAAATTCCTAAATCCTGCACGGTATCGCCAATTCATGTCTCATTATAAGTAATAGTTTTCTGTTAATGGGTTTTAGGTAAGAAGAGAGAAAATCAGTGAGAGAATGAAGATACTACAGCTTCTTGTTCCGGGCTGTGACAAGGTAAAAATGCAGTTCCTTGTCTTAATTTTGTCTTTCTAAATAAAGCACGTATATATCTGACAGCTTCATGTGGCGTGTTTAATTTTAGATTACTGGGAAGGCCCTTGTGCTGGACGAGATTATTAATTATGTTCAGTCCCTGCAAAATCAAGTGGAGGTAAGTAATAACACTTAATTCAAGGATAATTACCCTCTTTTGTTCGTGTAATAGAAATGCATGAATACTAAATCAATGGTGATTTTGCAATTTTCACAGGTCCTATCCATGAAGCTTGCCTCTGTTAATCCCCCGCTCTATGATTTTGGAATGGACCGTGATGCATTCATGGTTAGACCAGAGGTAATAAATTAAGGGCTAGAAAAAGAATTTAGTTTGGTCGGTTATTATTTGGTTCAAGATTTAACCACAATGTTTATGATCAAATTAAGCTGATGAGGATCTCTGTCACTGACATGAAAATGTAGAGTTTAAGTAGCATGTCTCCACCACTGCCATCGCTGCGACGCAACAGTCCTATCCAGCCCACAGCTTTTGCCGACACCGCCTCCGCCACCACCGCCACCTTTGCTACAGAAGAAAATAACTATCCTCTTATTGATAATTCTGCTACGCTTTTTCTTCAAGGAATGAAGCCTAGTGACTTCACTACTCATCAGGTATCCATTTATTTTTAAGCCCATTTTAGACCATTCTCCTGTGTAGTAGCTACACTTGAGAGAGATCAGATTAGATATTTACTAAGAATATACTCATATGAGGCAAGGAACACCATCTTACTAACATTGACCAGCACATCATTTTCAGGATAGTGGTTACCTAATGGGGGATGTGGATGAGCAAAGACAAAAATTTCCTAATCCATCTGGGCTCACCAACAACTTGTGTTCTTTCCATTAAAATAAATACACTAAGCGCTGCCCTACAAACATCTGGTAAGCCCTCATGTCCTGTCTCATGTAGTATTTATTTTTTTATCCTTAAGACTTTTGATCTTACTAATATTATGGGTCTATCTTTCCAGCTTGCAAGGAGATGTCAAGGGCAACAGAAAATAACAAGGGGAAATTAAGAAACAGGGAGACATGAAATATTCAAAACAAAGCTGCTGCATTCAATCTAGCATAAGTTCCAGTGGAAGTTCGAAGCTTGTTTCTTCACTTATTAAAAGCTCTGGTTACAAGTCCAATAGAATGAAAGTGGCATCTTAAACCATGAATAAAGGGCAGCAACATCAATGGATGAAGAACGCAGAGGACATACAGGACCGACCAAATAAGACCAGATCTTTTTGTAGATCCCTTGTTCCTGTCCATCTTGACCCCTCAATGTCTTGCACGCCAAAATTCCACAGCCCCCCTTGTGGTGGTTATGCCCTATAGCTAGCTAGGCTTTTTTTTTTTCCTTGTAGAGCATAAAAATAGTAGTTGTAATTCTCCAGTCATTCTGTTATTACAGTTATTTTTACTTTTGCTTCCCTCTTTTTGGGAAAGAGGGAGGGTGAAAGAGATGAGGTAAAACGCTAGATTGAAGACGTTGTTACTGTAATTGACACAGACTAGCTATGCATTTATTGTTGGTATCGTTGGCTTTAATTTCTGTTCTTGGAATCTTCTCTGTTTTGGCATCTTACGAGCTTGAGCTTTTTGAGTTGAATTCCTCCTTTCCCTGAGCCCCTTGCCCTTTCCCTTACCCATACTTTCTTTTTATTATTATTATATCGGTTAAGTTAATTTTATAAATTTTAAAATTAATAATCGTGATCGTGATAAAACTTAAACTTACATTTATTAAAAACTCAAACTCTAAATTTTACCAATTAAATTACTCCTACACCCTTCATGGTTGTAACGGTTGTGGACAAGCCACCAAACCATGCTATGGCCTTCTATTTCCTTAAAAGCTATGCCTATGCAACTTCTTTGCTACTGTTTGTTCTCTCTTACAAGCTACATCTTAGTACATGAGTGGTGTTTCCTGATCACAGTCATGAAAAAGGAAGCAGCCAAAAAAGCAAGATCATGTAGAGGAAAAGAAAAGATTCTACACAGATATCATTGAAAATAACCAAGGCATTGATTTCTAGCTATTATCTAGCATGGATGGTGTCCACAAGCGGACATGCATTTGTTCTCAAAGGCATTCTGGGTTCCTTTCACTACTATTTTATACTTAAAAATGGGCAAATTCATTGGGCGATGAAACGAGTGCATTAATTTTGATTACAAGACGCTGATTTATTGGCTAAGAAAGCTTGTTTTATCTATTATTTTTCTACGTTTAAATATTACAAATAATATTAACCTTATTTCAATACTTTAGATCAATATGGAAGACATAACCTTAAAATCATCAAAAAAAAATTTTAATTTCAATTGCACCTACGCTAACTCCAAAAATACTATTTAAAAAAAAAACAAGAAAAAAAAACATACAGTTAAAGGAGTTTTAATCCAGTACCTTATAATCCCATTGACACTTTAATAATTTTGGAGATGTATACAATTAATGAAAAAGTTTCCCGTGTAGGGCAGGTATGCCACAATAAAGAGACCACAAAACGCAAGCATGCCTTCAGCCAAAAAAAATAATAATTACAAGGATAATAAATGTGAATATCGCCCACCTAAGTTATTTCTTTATTTTAAATATTATTTTTCTTTATCCTTTTAAAGTCCAATAAGGTGCAAATCCTGCCGTAGCCTAATGTTATTTCTTTGTGCACTCAACTACTAATGATGGAAGACAAGAGATTATTTCTAACTTTAATTAACCTCAAATTAATTAAGACTAGTGCTCAAAATATTAAACATATAGAATTCCTTTGGTATTGTAATAAAGTTGCTTTTTAAAATGTTTTTCAATTAAAAATATATCTCAATAATAATTTTATATTTTTAAAATTTATTTTTGTTATCAATATATCAAAACAATAAAAAAACACACAAACAATTAAAATGAAATTTTTTTTCGCCAAATCATTTTCTAACCATGAAAACAAATTGAGCCATGGAATCCAGTTTAAAAACCGACTATAATTTCATTTATTTTTGTAATTCCATTTATTTTTGTGATCAAAAAGTGTTTTTATAAAAAAATTATTTTAAATTAATTTTTTTATATTTTTAGATTATTTTGATGACTTATATGAAAAATAAATTTAAAAAAAAATATTATTTTAATATATTTTAAAATAAAAAATATTTTTAAAAGTAAATTCTATCACGATGACAAGCTGGCTAAGTATCATTATCCAATCAAATAAAATTTTGATTTGATTTTTTTTTTTTAGTTTTTTGGACTACCTTAATGATTGCTATATAACCTCATTAGCACACACGGGCAATAAAAGGCTAATTGCATCATTAAGAAAACAAAAGGCTATTTACGTTGTATGATCGGTTTAATGATTATTGGATTATATAGTCAAATGATTAACCTAAAAAGTAGATCCAGAAAACACAAAAAGCAGTCAGCATCTAAAGATAGTGCTTGCTCCCATTCGTCAACCAGTTAGGCTAAAGTCATTCCGCTGATGGAGTATATACATTTTGACAGCAAAAAAGTTGTTTTCATAACATAATTAACAGTCCTATAACTTCTCATGATTGAGCATGCATTTTCTCTATTTATTCACAGCTAGCTGTAGACGCAGACAATCCATGTGGTTTTTGTGTTCCATCTGTTCTTACAGACCCTCGTATTGGATCGCCTGCATAACTGGCTCGTATAAATGGTTCAGGAAGGTAAATCCATTATCTTTATTGTGATAACTTTATCATAACATTATCTAATCCAAGTGGGACGTGAGGCCACCACAAGCGTGCACAGACAACAGTCAAGAAGAGGGTTAATCCTTGTCTCTTACTGGTGATAAAAATGGTACATCAGATAAGAGGAAACTATGCAAGGTGTCCTGGTCTCAAGTAATAAAGGAAAAGGAGGAGGCCTAGCAGCTAGGAGTGGGATCTAGCTTTGGATGGCAATAATAGAGAGTTCTGCTCTTTAAATGGCTAATAGGGGATCAGACTAATGGAGATTGGAAGGAGATTGTTACAAAAATACATCATATTACTTTCGAAAATGATCTTTCAAATTATTTCTGAACTAGCTTTCCTAGCTTCCTAGTGTGGCATCGAATCAATAAAGTAATAACAAGTACAAATGGTGTTCAAGAGGTCTTGAAGGGAGGAATCATCTGGTTCGGAATTAGGTAACGGGAGAACTATTACGACATGTGAAGTGACTGTAGAACTATGAAGGAGACATTTTCATGAATCTATGCTATTACTACAAGAATTTTTAGATTTACTAATAAAATCATTATTTATAATTTTAGTTTGTTGAAATTATCTTTACTAAAGACTCATAGATAAAAATATTTCATTGGGAAGATTTTCACGGACAAAAAAGACATGCAAAACAAAATTTATCCGCTTTATTTAGTTTATATTTTTCTTAGAAAATTTAACATATAACTGATAAAAACATTGTGTGTAATTCCATTCATGATTAAACAATGGCGGTGGAATTTGCAATAATTTCTTTTTAAATTTCTAAAATACATCGTCAAACTTTATCCGTCGATAAGATTGTCATTAATTATTTAAATATATATATATAATATATTAAAAAAAGTAGAAAATAATTAAACTAAATCAATACTTAATAATAATACTCAAAACCGAGTTGCTTGGAAAAAAAAAAACAAAGAAAATTAACCCAAATAAATTTGAAACAAATAAATAAATCAACTAAAAAAATTTTCACCTAACCTAGAAAACCTATTCTAGAACCCATAATATAGCAACAAATAAATTTATTTAATTGAAATTGAATGAAAAAATTACCTAATAATAATTAAAATCAATCCTATATATTTAATTGAAAAAAAATAATCCAACAAAAATTCAAACAATTGTTCTCATATAAAAAAAAATTCCTACAACAACATTCTTACAATTATTAAGAACAAAAACAATTAAAAATAAAAAATATAGTGAAAAAAAAGAAGAAGAAAAAAGTCTCACAAAATTAAGAAACAATATAATGAAAAAATACAAAAAAGAAAGAAAATAAAAATTTTACCTTAATTTTATTGCGACTGAAGTTGAGAAGGAAAAAAAATTCATAAAATATATTAATTAACAAGAAAAACTAAAAGATAAAAAAAGAAGAGAAAAGAACACATATTTGAACTTGGAGAAGCATAGAAAAAGAAAGAGTTAAGGAGAGAGAAAAAAAAAAGGAACACTGGTGATTTTTACAAAAAAAAAAAGAAGAAAAGATGTATCTATTATGAAATAAACAATTTTAATCTTTTAATAGAGCTTTTTTATCTATAGTTTTATCTATAAATAATTAAATTTTAATATTTTTAAACATTTCATCGTTGATTTTACTTGCAATATTTATTGTAGATCCAGTAGCAACAATTTATGATGCATTGTTCTCAAGATTGAACTTCCAGTGGCGAAGAGAGCTCAGAGGCAGATAACTACAATCTCTGCATTTCTGTCATTTGTTCGCGCAGGAGTCTTCTTATTGTGTATGATCGAATAGATAGAAATGCCATATCATGCATTGTTTAAAGACATAGTCATCTCTAGAAATGCCTGGTTTCTCTTCATATGATCCCTTTTATCTTCTCTGATCTCCCAACAGCTTCTTTTTTTCTTTTTCTTTTTACCCTAAACACATCATGCTAGCATGAAAGTGCCAGAAAAGTTGAGGGATGGTACACCTTTACATATACGATAATGATAACTCATATGTCGAACAATTATTTGATCACAAATCGAAGGAAAAATGGCCCGCCAAACTCAATCTTGTTCAACATTTGCCATTTGGATTGAAGGGCGGCTTTCTTTCAATTTCCTGTCTCTTCTAACACAATATTGAGATCAAGGTTGCCCAAGATTGCCAACTGGATGTTAGCATGCAAATTAGCCTATGATGCAACAACTTGTGTAGTTCACCAACTGATCAATTTCTGCTTCGGGGTCCCTTGTGCCTCTCTCTCTTTTTCTTTTTTTACTGGCTTTTGGGTCCCCGAGTTGATTGGTATTGAAACACCTAGATACTCTTCATTAAATTAATTAATGAAGAGTATCTAGGTGTATCTTGATTTAACTTTTTTAATAGTAATTAAGTGCATCTTGGATATATTAAAATTAGTGGTTATTTTTTACATAACTGTAAGATGCAAAATTTATCTGAGGATATCACATAACTGTAAGACGAACACATTTTTTTTTCCCCGTTGATCTATCTTTTCCAGAAAAGCAAGTATCCAAAGATCTCCATTGCTTTCATAAGAAAGCAGCGTCGGCAAGCTTCACACTTGTCGTAGCTTAGCTCCATAATCATACCCAAAAACTGAAACCGAGAAGCATCCAGCATACGATAAGAAACTAGCTATCCGATCCAAGCTATAGCATCCAATTCCTCGAAGGCCTCTGTCTGTCGCGGTTGGCCACGCCTATCCATGCCTGGATACTTCTCTTCACTTTCATGATGATACTATAGACATGTCTTGACCCATCAGACTCTCAAATGGGACATGATTATTGTTGTTGCAAACC